ATTCCTCCACTGCTAGTTGTAGGATAACGGGAATCAAGCAGCGCTGCTGTGCTGCCTTGATCGGTTTGGACATGCACGGGAAGTCCGCGTGGGGGGCATTCACTTGGTTGTAAAAATATTTTAAACCAAATTGTCCGCTTGCCGCCGCAATGTCGGAGGCATTTAAAGCGCGCGATGAGACAATTCCAGAGACAACCCACAACATCCAATACAGTTGACATTCTTGAAGTGTAGACATCGCACTAGCTTACGCAACGCTCGGACCACGCTAAGTTCACAATTCCTATGTGCAGATTCCCGCCACACACCCCTCCCACAATGCCACAGATGCGTCGGCGGAGGGCAAGAGCCACAAGCACGATATACGGTGCTGCGTATTCTGTTCGTCGTAAATGCCTTGTATTCTGGACCAAACGTGGGCCACGGCACTCTTGACACGTTGACCGTGACGACGTTGCTCGTAGATGAATTCGTAGAGGGTGTTCCCTAACACGTGACTCGTCACTCCGAGGTCAATGCAGTGCATTGAATCGATAGCGATGGAATAGCTGTTAACTCCCCATATGCCAAAAGCAGGATGCGTAAAAACGTAGGGCACCGCTCGCCGACGAGACCTCATCCAATGATTTGGGCGGCGCTCCTGAAGGGGTCGGGCGGTGGTCTGGATTTGGATGGGGAACCTCTAACGTGTAGGTATGGTCATGCATATGCTTATGTGAGTGCGCATGCTCATGCGCATACATGTTGCGTGTTTAACATGCGTGCGAATATTTGTATGGGAACATGTATTTTGAGGAAATGAGGCTCCTTGACGAAATCGTTCCAGGGGTTGTCCTCGCGATCGCAATCGCACAACCAGCACGGGTTGTTCGCGTTCGGGGCAGGGGCCCCCAAATGGTTGGAGAAGAATTCCATGTCCCCCTGTATCGAGTGCAACCACCCACGGGATGGAAACCCATCGCTGCAAAGCCACTCGCCTGCGAGCCGGCCGCGCTTGCTGTCGGCGGCGAACGGCTGGCCCCTCCAAACCGCCACACCCTTCGGGCGACGACAAGCGCATCGACAATCTTGATTGACTCGGCATGGTGATACCGTTTGATTGTTTCGAGCTGCTCCGATGCGTAGCGTCGACGGCGCGTATATTGCGCACACCCGATTGTATTTGTATTGTCTGCGCTGAAATGTGGGGCTGGCGGAAAACGGCAAAAGCTGAACGTATCTCTGGTTGGGTGCTTCCCAATGGCCATAGCATTAAACGACCACTGTACCACCTCCCAGATTGCTTGCCAAGTGTCTGCCCCGTGGTGCTTTTGTTTTGCAGCGATGCTGCATGGGAGCGCCGAGATGAAACAACACAGATCCCGCGTAGATCCTTTGGCAAGCAACCCTGTCCAGGCGGTGACCATTACGCTGTCGTTGTTGATCATCTCCGCGCCATCCCCGTGCACCCGAAGCGGTATGAACCACTTCTTGCGCCCTCGCCCCCTCCAGATAGGATGGGAATGGAGCCGAGGGTCGCGCCTGGGGACGGGCGAGAAAAAAAAACGACCAACACGTGTCACTTAAACGCAGAGGACGGCAATCACGCACCGAGAAATACACTGACAGCCTCGATCTGGCAACGCACGGGGCCCTTTCGTGTTACATCCCACCCTCGAAACCCATGGCCCCGATTCGGGACCCCGCATTTTTTTCTTAAATTAGTTGTTCGCTTTATGTCCCCGATCAATATAACCTGGAAGCGCCGTCACATAACTGGTCCAAGTCTGATACTCCAAACTGCTGGTCGAGGTCGGTGCGATGGTGGTGACATAAAGCTGGAAATACATCGTGGGGGCATATAATTCCGCAGTCGCCCTGCGCAACCTCACACGATCGTGGTTTCAAACACGGAACCCGAACGACCTCTGGAGCTGGCAAGGTGGTATTCCTCAAGTATTTCGTTGTCAATTCTCGATATATGTTGCTCGGCTGGGTGCCCCATGCGCCCATCTGGGCAATAGACAGAACTTCGTCGTTCTTAAGCCCGTCTTGGTGAGCGGCCAAAATAAACTTGCGCGCCTCGGTGGCGCGCAGGCGGCCCCAAGCCCATTGGCCGAGGACAAGGCTGGAGAGGTTGGACCATTTCACAAGCTCCACGGCCTCTACTTCAGCAGGGTCAGGGCCATCAGAGTCTGTGGTGTCGGGATCGGGCGCGGGGTCTAGTCTCCTCTTCTGCTGTTTCGACATGCTCGAGCAGAAACTGCAATGGCCCGCGGGGCCCCAAATCCCCTGTATCACCCACCTTTCACGAGTGTGCTGAATTGGGGCTACTGTGGTTTCTGGGGACAGGGTAGAGGTGGATGAGGGGCTGGATGCAGGCCAGAGGGCTCGAGGGGGCAAGTGAAGCGCGCGCAACTTCTGGCATTCTAGGGCCGCCGCCGCGGCCGCCGCGGCCGGCGATGACAAGTCCTGGACGTTTCAGAGATCTGGCACTTGAGCTCTTGAGCCCTTGGAGCCCTGGAACCGAACGAAAAAAAACACATACATTGCCAGCCGACGACCCCGCGCGATCAGAACTCACCCCGAGGTGTTGACGAGCACGCCCATGCCGACCACCAGCTTGAACTGGCCCTTGGCTTCCATGATCGTCCTGACGGCCTGCGGGATCTTCACCGTGTCCTGCAGCTGAATGTCCCCGATCGCAGGCAGCAGCTTGTTGCGGATCGCCACGAGGAGCTGTGGGCGATCATTTTCTCTCTGGCGCTGCGCCGCCACGCCTCCCCTCTGCCGCCGCCGCGCCCCCTGGCCCCCCAAGGGCCGTCTTCGACACCACAGTCCGCCGCGGACTGCCGTCTCGACACCCCGCCGCCCCCCCCCCTTTCGGAATTCAAATTTCGAAGGGAAGATACTTTCTGACATCGAGGCCAGGCAGGACGGGCCCTCTGGACAGACTGAGCTCAGATGGGGCACATGGTTTGAATGCAAATCAATGGCGCAACGATTAAAAAAAAACGAGCCTTCTTCGCCTTGGAGACGCCGGCCTCCCTGCGGGTGCCGCCCGCCTCCTTGGTCGCGGCCTGCAACCGACCTGGGCCCCGACAGACGTCGACGGGAGCCGTTAAATTTAATCAATTACGAAGTTGGCCGACAAAATCCCGACGGGGGAGTTAGCCCATTGCTAAGTTGGCAGCCAACTACTGCGTTGGCCAACCACTAAATTGACCTAAGTTGATCAAGCGGGGGACCGTGCCCACGCTGTAGAAGTCCTTGGCCACGCTGTGGCACTCCTCGGTGCAGGTCACGCGCTTCTTGTCGATGCCCAGCACGGGCTTCGCGACGTCGTGGATCGTCTTCTTCTTGCTCCCCTATCAGGGGCCCGTTTGCATCAGATCTCACCAAAAAATGAAGGTACGCGAGGAATGGAGGTGGGTGGAGGAGGAAACGGAAGGCGGCCAATGACGATGAGGAGGAGGAGGAGAAAAAGAAGGGCGATGGAGGGCGAGGTCAGGCAGTTAACGAGATGCGGAGGGGGGGAGCGTGAAGGCGGGGGCTTTGGAATACTCGGGGAGGGGTTGAAGGCCGAAGATACGAGGAGATGAAGGATGCGCGAGGAGGATTGGGCATAAGCACGCGCGTGCCAGCGCAAAAGAGTTGGAGTGGAGTGGGGTTGTCATTGGAGTTGGAGTTGGCAACGGGGAGATTATGGAGGGGGGGAGGTCTGGTATGGCTGGGTCGTGGGGATCGGGGGAGGGGGGGGGGGGGGCGCCGTGCCGCGCCCTGCCGAGCCGCGTCCGCCAATGCCGCGTCCGCCACCGCCGCGACCGCGCCCCCCGCGGTTCTCGCCAGCCCCCCTCGCTGCCCTCTTGGGGACCTGCTCGCCGCCCGAGCCGCCCGAGTCGGCGTCGTCGCCCGAGTCGAAGCCCATGTTGTCGGCGTCCGCTGTCAGATTTTCGCATTGTTTGACGAAGTGCTGACGGAATAATGAGAGAAGAGACGGGCACTTGCCAGAGGGGGGCGAAAGGGCACGTGGATGACAACAGAAGTGGGTATGTGGGAAGAACGAACGGGCAGGACTAAAGAGGGTGGCGGGGGCAAGGCAGAGGACGTAGGAGAGTGTTTGGGGTTCCGTGATTTAACGTCGATGCGTGTTGCAATTGTTTCCGCAATGCGTCTTGGATTTTTTGTCAGATGCACATTGGACTTGACATGTGAAACGACCAACTTGATGTTATAGCCAGGGTGCATATGGCGGAATCGATTGGTCACGTGTGATTACATGTTACGTGTGTTTATGTTGCGTAGCCATGATGCGTGTGACTATATTTCTGTATGTGTGATTATGTCCTGCTCTTTATTGCATAGATTGCGTAGTCGTGCTTTTTTGCAAACATGGGTTTCTGTATCAAGCGATCACCATCCTCCCTATCGGCCGCCTCAGCATCCCCCTCCTCGCCCCCTTCCCCCTTCCCCCCCCTTGCAAGTCCTAACAACATATTGAAAGAAGAAAAGACAGTCCGATGGCAATGTCCGCGCCGAACTTGCCGCGTGTGATGCCACCGATCATCTGCCCGAGCTGGCCGTCCTCGATCTTCTTCCTGCCGCTCGCCGTGCGAGACTTCTCCCTGCTGGCCTCCTTGACGTACGAATCAGTCACGTCAAGGTACTCCTTCCCCTTCTTGTTGCGAGGGTTCCGCCTGACCTGGGCGAATGCTATTTGCAAACATATTTGTCTGATTACATTGGAATGCACACGAGCTGCAACACACGCATACATGGCAACGCGCACAACCATGGCAACCGCACACCACGAACATATTCCACTGGTTGCGGCGGAACGTCCAAGCGATATGGAACAACACATACACATGGCAAGACATGGAGGTCACCGAACACGCTGCAATATTGCAATATGATGGTGTTTGGGCAAGCTTACATCGAGTGTCTAATGTTTTTTTTGCAATCTGGATCACACTAGTGTCGAATGATGTTTCGGCAAGCTTACATATAAAAAAGTCTGCCTGGATCTTGCCATCGTCGCGCATCTCCTCCGCCTCGGACTCCCCGTACTTGTCCACCATGGCCTTCCAGGGCACCCCGGTGGCCTTCTGGCTCACGGACTCCTTGAAGCCGATCTTCGCGCAGATGTCCCAGAAGCCATCCTGCATAGCTGGATCTTTGATCCAGGCCATCAAGAGCTTCTGCTTGGCGAGGTTCTTCTTCCCCCTGGCAGCGGAATCTGCCTGGCTGGGGTATGGCACGCCAGATGGATTACATGTGCAAAACATACAATATTTGACGCACCAACCAAGCGATTCAAATTCATAATCGGCGAGGCCACCAACACACTAGAGCAACCCACATCTAGCGCCCAGAGGCCAAGCCACGCGACTCAACACTAAGGTTTTGCAGTAACAACAATCATGCACCATATATGTGGCACGTGGTTCCAATAGCACCCACTACCTCCTAATATCGTTCATTCCATTACTCTCTGTATTCCTCAAACTACCCTATCACTCAACATCTGAATGTGCTGACCATTCGGCGCGCATCAATGATCAAGACTGCAGGGTACCGAAGTGAACGCAGCGTCGACCCGCTGGTTGTCGCTCCTCTCGGACGCGAACTGGCCGTAGAGCTTGCGCATCTCGTCCTGGGAGAACAGCCCGCGGATCTGGTCGACGTCCGCGGGGTCCCCGTGCATCCTGAACAACTCCACGCGCTCCTCGAAGGTCTTGCCCTTGCCCTTCGCAAGAAGCTTCGCCCTCTGGATGCCCATCTTGTTCGCGGGCACGATCTGCAGCTCCGAGGTGGCCTTGTCAAAGACCGCTGCCTTGGCCTTCGCCTTGACCTTCGCCTTGGGTCTCGGCTTGGCCTTGGTGATCGTCTTCATGACTCGCTTGGGAGCCATGGCGATCACCGTGCACGATGGGTTCCGAAGGTCGTGGCCGATGATTTGGGCCTAAAATCATATGTGTGCATGGTTGATACTCCAATTACAAACTGATGGACTGATCAATTCGACCGCGTGTCGTGCCATAATGCATCACAAGGAATATCAACATTACAGAATCACATGTAGTAGTATGTGCACAAAACAATAATTAGTCATACCCGCACGAACATGTATATATTGTTACTTTATAAACAATTTCATATACCACATCCACATATGGATATACTTACATGTGTAAACACGTGTATACATATGTATTGTATTCGAACTCTGCGTATTTAGTATCAGATAATATTGTCATGAGGTCTTACGTTTGCATACGTTTGCATACGTTTGCGTGTGTTGTCGTACGTATGACATACGTATGGCAACACGCGCAAACGTATGCAAACGTATGCCAACGTCTTCAATCATATTCAAATATAATTCAATGTAATAAACAAATTCAATGTAGTTAAATAACCCCATACGTCATGTACCCACTTAATATGAAAACATTTAATAATACATGTAACACACACGACGTATTGATATGACAATATTTGTTGTTGGTTTACTGTCATTCAAACATACCATGCAAATACTGTCATTGCGGATGGGGGGGGGGGGTGGGGGGGGGGGTGGTGGGTTCCTTATGAGATTAGGATTATGAGGGGGGTCCGATGATTATGAGTTCAAGGGAGATGCATGCTTAGGATTGGGAGTAGAAGTAGGAGGATAAGGAGGGTCCGATGCTAGGGGGTAGTACGATTGAGAATGAAGAAGATGGTGGTGATTAGGAGTTGGAGAATGACGACCATGGTAGTGATTAGGGTTGGTGGTTAGGAGTTGGCGATTAGGAGTTGGAGTTGGAGTTGGAGGATGGATTCGAGCGTGGGAGGTTGATGGGGGGGGGGGGGGGGGTGTGAATACGGCGGCGGAGGCGGGTCAACGGCGTTCGCGTGCGGACCTGGCAGGGAAGCCCGCGCCCGAAGGGCGCGTCGACGCGCTGTGCCTGGTGGGGTGGGGTGGTGTGTGTGTGTGTGTGTGTGTGTGTGTGTGTGTGTGTGTGTGTGTGTGTGTGTGTGTGTGTGTGTGTGTGTGTGTGTGTGTGTGTGTGTGTGTGTGTGTGTGTGTGTGTGTGTGTGTGTGTGTGTGTGTGTGTGTGTGGGGGTGGGTGGGGGGGGGGGGGGGGGGGGGTCTCGTTGGGCAGGATGGCGGCTGTGCCCCGCGCCGTCGCAACAGTTCGACTATATTGGGAGGGGGGGGTGATGATGGGGGGCTGTTTGAGGGGGGTGGCGGAGGGACGTGGAGACGGAGGAACGAATATGTGGAACGTGAGGGGCTGGCGGGGATGAGCATGAGGATTTGTAGGGTGACGATGAGGAAGCGGAGGATGAGGAGGAGCGGATGAGGACGAGGACAATGGCGAGGGGGCGGGGATGTCTACGATGAGATGGGGTAGGGGTGGGGGGAGAACATTATTTCAGACGACAGAATAATGGTTCCAGTGGTCTGGAAGCATAATTCAAAGAGGCCCTCACGCGGTGCGCGCATGCTCGCGGTGAGAAAAAAATCACGGTCACGAACGTTATGTGCCGCGCGAAGATGCGGTGCCGTGGCGGCGCCGTGCTCACTTAGCGCACGAAGATGACGCGGCGGTGCACCTTGTGGTCCGTCTCGCTGGTGCTCTGGGTCATGCGAGTCCAATCGATCTTGACGGCGATGTCCACCACGATGTCAGCCCCCTCCTTCGGCCCGTGCATGTCCTCGGTCGCGAACTCGACCACGGAGTCACCGTTCCCATCCATGTGGGCCTTGTAGGAGGATGCCAGCAGCGCTTGGTCGGGCGGGCAATGCGCCACGAACTCGGCGCAGGCGTTGCTCACGCGCTTCGAGAAGTAGAAGCGCATGGTTGCCGTCCTCAAGGGCAGGGCGACGTGCGGTGTTATGGATACCTTCCACGAAGAGGAATCACAAGCCCGAATGACTTGCACCAAAATGTCTACAGCATGGAACTGTGAGTACTATCCAGGAGTTTCAGAAGCCACAGTCCGACGCACAGCGCGGATGGGATGGGTTGCGATGGACGGGGGGAAGGCTCTTGAGTGGGGCAACTGGTGATGTGATGGCGTGGTGGCGTGATGGTGTAATGACACTGGAAGTTGGAGGGGGATGGTGAAATCAACTGTGGTGCGGTGGTGTGGTGGCACCGCTCATGTTACTTGAATTCGATGTCCGAGCATGCGCAATCACTCGGACGATAGTCTCCCTCCTCCTCCCCCTCACCCTCCATCCTCATCCTCCTCCCTCTCTCCTCCTCCTCCTCTTCCTCCTCCGAAGGGGGGCCGTCGACGACGCCGACGTCGTCGAGGATGCCGACGTCGAAGACCGACGGTCGACGATCACGAAGACGACGACTCGTCTCGAAACAGATGGGTCGGAGGTTGGAGACGAAGTTGGACGGCGCATTCGAGATTATGGGGAATGGGGCGGGTGGGCAGTGCGGCGCCGTGCGCGACCTTTTAGCCTGCCGAGCCGATGTCGTCGCTGGGGCACCCTGAACTGCCCGCCCCACGGGCGTGTCGCCCCTACTCAAATTCGAGAATGTATCTAACCTGCCTTATCTGCAAGCGACTCCACCCACGTGTTCCCCTTCTCCGCGGCTACAGCGCCCACCCGAAACTTCAGGGCGGTGGAGGGGGTGGGGATGGGGAACGGGGGATGGGGGGGGGTGCGCGAGATTGGGGTGGGAGGGGGGGAGAGGGGTGGGGGAGGGAGGGGGGGGGTGGCAGAGGGGATGGATATAGAGAGGTGCATAATCTGGTGAATGGGGAGAGGGGGGAGGGAGGGGGGGGGGGGGGGGGGGGGGGGAAGGGTTGGAGGGTGGGTGAGAGGGGGGGGGGGTAGGGGGGGGAAGGGGGGGGGGGGGTGGGGGGGGGGGGGAGAGCTATGGAGGAGTGAGGGAGCAAGACGGACATGCTTTATTGAGGGCGAGGGGCGAGGGGGAACGGAGGAAGAAGGCTGGTGTTGAGAGGCAGATATGACTGGAAGGGTAGCCCTTACCCAACATCCTTCAATTACAAACTAAAAACCTAACTACCGTGGATGCGCTTCGAGCGCCAGGCGGCGGCCTGCTGCTTCGTGAAGCTCTTCTCACAGGACTCCCTGATGAGATTGCTGAGCAGCATGGCGTGGCCCTCCGCCTGGCGCTCGTTGATCTCGATGAACAGCGTCTTCTTGCCTGCCGGCAGGGTCGTCAAAGCGTAGCTCTTGGTCGCCGCGTAGACCGCCGTCATGGTGCCCAGCTTCTTGCGTTCGGCCCTGCGGATGAGATCCCCTGCGTCCCCCGAGGGCTCGACGGCGGACTTCGCCTTTCCAGCCTTGAGGGCGGCCCGGAGGCGGAGGGGGAGAAGGGGGGGGGGGGGGGATAATGGAGACGTGGAGGAGATGAAGGAGGATAAAAGAACTATAGTGGAGAAGGATGAGAGAGGATACGGAGGAGAGAGGAGGAGCAGATGCGGAGGCGGCACAGGATACGGAACAGGGCATGGAGGTTGGGTAGGGGGGATGAGAGGGACGGAGAAATATGATGATTAGAAACATAAGACTCCCACCAGCCCTCTGGGCGACAGGTGACACAGCGATGTTCAGATGCCCTCTTCCACAACCCCTTGTTCCCCTTCGGGGATGGGCTGGCAGCGCCCTCTACCCCCTTCCCCTGTGCCTGGACGGGGGCGGCCGCGGGTAGTTAGAGGCCCCCTTTTCAGACCAGGGAAAGTTTTTTTGTTTGCACCCCTCACAGGGATCGCGGCACCCGAAGGGGGGGGGGAGGGGGCTACGTCGAGGCCCACCCCCCCTCTCGTTCGACCGACCGCCCCCAAGATTGCCCCATGGAGGCTCTCCAAAGCGCCCGATAGGCCCCCAAGAGCGCCCCCAGATGTCCCACCATTACCCCAATCCGGCCGCAGAGGCCGCCAATACTGCCCCAGGGGAGCCCACGGACGGCTCAAGCGGCCTCCACGACGCCCAAGATGGCCTCCAAGACGGCCAAGGTGGCCCCAGGAGGGCCCAGATGGCCTCAGGATGTCTCGAAGACGACCCGAGATGCACCCAGGACGGCCAAAGATGGCATCAGGATGACCCAAGACGGCCAGAGACGACCCCAAGGGGCCTCCAAGACGGATGCGGTTCACTTTTGGATTGCTTGCTGCTACGCCACCCTCGCGGGGCGGTGGGGGCACGCGAAACGCGAAGAAGCGCCTGGCGAAAACACCACCCGCCCCACCCCTATATATATATATA